TCTGTCTCATAGATTGCACATATTTTGGGTTCCTTGAAGTTGAAGATAGTGTCTGTTATAGGAAAGGGCTGTGCTTGGTTAAAAGGCTAGTGCTGGTAATTTGAAACTAAGAGTCTTCAAAATAACTTGTTTGGGGATTTTTTCTTGTTCCCCTCCTGCCCTAATTCTATCCTAGGGATTTGTAATAGAAGTGTTGATGAAACCACTTTACTGAAGTGGAAAGCAGGGCACTGCTGGGCTTCGTGGGAGCATGGACTTGCCAGGGCCACTCCACTAGTGAATAATATGTTGCTTCCCTCCCAGCTCTAGAGCAATGGGTTAGCTGTACCAGCACAGGGGGATTTGGGGTAGAGGCACACTTCAGGTGATTAAATTAGTGAAAACATGATGATTATCAGACCATGGTGATTTTGGACTTAGTAAGACAGTATGTCATGTGGTCTCTTTAAATGCTGCTTTTCGGTACATCTCAGCCCTTGACTTGGAGCAATGCTGATGAGGTGATACATTGAAACAAATGGGAATCTTTCTTGCTAGAAATAGACCTTTCCGATTGCTTTCTGTGTGTGTATGTGTACATTTCTTTTTTAAGTGTGACTGGAGTTTAAACACTAGGTGTCAGTCAGTCACCTCTCAAAGGCATGCTCTGAAGCTCTAGCACATTCATCTCTGGCAGCAAAAACTTTTAAAGAGATAATGTACAATAATGTGCACGTTAAATAATTACAATCATGCAAAAGTCAGGTGAGGCAATTATTCCATAGGGCTGTTTAGACAGATCCCAGACATAAAGAAAACTCTTTTGTAGGAAGAGACTTGAACACTCTAGCCTTGAATATTCTGTTGTGAGTATTCGCACTGTCATGATAAAATACTTGTTAATCTGTTGTCTAATGTTGCAGGTGACCAATAAATTCCTCTTTCTTTCACCCATTCTCCTTCAGCTTCTGTAGCATTTCTAAAAAACTTGTTTTTCAAAAGAAAACACCCATTCTGACCTGTGGAGGTTGCTCCCCACAAGGCATCATTGGCATATACAAACTTATGCCTGCAGCAAAGCTGCTGTGACAGATGAGAGCTCTTTAAGAAAAAATGCTTATATTGCCAATCATTTGAGTATTGCTCCTTTTGGCCAGTTCTCCAAACATGAAATTTTCAGAGTGTCACATTGCAGTAAGAGCTACTGGACTTAATAGAACAGGGCACCTCTACACTGAGAATCTCTAGTTTTGTGGATCTGGATTTTAGTGATCTGGTACCTCAAGAGATGCTGATAACAGACCTGTCTCTGTGGAATAATGATATATCAAGAGGAACTGTTTGCTCAAGCACTGCTGTGTGACTACAGACATACTGCTTCAGGACACAAACTCATAGTCTTCTCTCAGCTCCCAGCACAGATATCTAGGATATCTCTGCTCTGTGACTTGGGCACATTGCATCACGGACCTGTCCCAAATGCTCACAGCTCCACCAGATGTCAGGACACATATATCCTCTGGGTCACTTAAACAGTTTCTGTAATTTGACTTTGTAGGTATTGAGGTTTTTTATTAATTACTTCAGCTACAATTTGATTCAGTAATCTCAGCAGTCCTCCAAAAATCTATTAGATATTCTTGAAAGTCATTTACATGCCTTTCATTCCTGGAATCATATATGTGTGTAATTTCAAATACTGAAATATTAAGACAATGCCATTGTGTAGCTTGAATCTAAACCTACTCTAGAGTGCATGAAGAAATGCATTTTAAAATATTATCTTTATTCTTTTACACATATATTTAAATCACTGTATCTCTGCTGTGAGCCTCGGAGGAGGAATGTCTTTTATGATATGCTGACTCCATAATACACAATTTTCTTTACCCAACCTGTGATATTCCAGGTTGCTAGGCTTATATTTCTTTTGACTGTCCGATCCTGGAGTATTAAATATGGGATTAGTGTAGCTGCCTCCATGTGTCAGTCCAGAGATTCAAGGACCACTGAGTGCATTATGTTAGAGAAGGCAGGTAACAACTTCCAGACTAAAAGAATAGAGCTGGATTTTTTTGTACTGTCTATTTTGTGAGAGAATTCATCCATGTGCAGGGCTCCTTCACAAGAGCAGTTGCCTTTCAACCCATTCTTCACTCATCCTGACAGCATAGATCACTGCAGAAGGTGAGGGGACTGGAGAACCAGATGTCTAGATCATCACTATGTTTGAATCTTTTTTATTTTATTTAGTTTGTTTGATCTCACATCAGGGCTTTAGATATTTTTTTTCCTGGTGAGAGAAAGAAACAGCAACAAATGAGTTCCTCCTCTACATGCCTTTCTTCCTACTGTGATCACTTTCTTGTTCCCTTTACTTCAGGGTATTTTTGCAGCTGCACATCATGACGATGGCCACAACAGCTCCTCAAATCAATGAAAATTAAATATGTTTGTACAACTTTCTACTAAGATAAGAGCTGCCCTGTGTGGAGTAACAAGGAAACACCTATACCCAGATTCATTTCACTTAACTAACTTGCATCTGTTAGACAATCAGAGCACTCCCATATCCCATGGAGAACGACAGACACCACCAAAGGATGCTTTGCTTCATGCTACACGGGGACAGCTGTTTTCTTCTACTTTTCTCCCTGGATTTGCAAGACTTCCCTATTTTTCCCACTCTTACTGCAAGAGCTTTAGTTATGCACATAAGCTTAGTTAAAAATAAATAAGGGAAAAGCACTAGTTATATCAAACACATAAATAGAAAACATAGTTAAAAGTGTAGAAAATACAAAGATGGAGGGAATATTATAGTGATGAAGGAGAAAATGGCTCTCAGGTGCCCTCTGTCTTCAGATCTGTCTTCTTAATATATATACCCACCAGTTTTCAAGTTCTGTTATTTTTATAATTCTTTTGTGAACTTGCAAGACTGATAACCATCATAAAAAATGTCCTCCTTAGTGCTTAAAATGGTCATTTATGACTCTGTCTGAAGTCAGTCCAGAAAAGTGGGTGAATTTTGAACTAACTTTCTGCTTGAAGCCTGACTGGATGTTGTCTTTGCCTCACTTGGAACCAGAGCGTGTGCTACTAAGCTGATTTGATCTATGAGATGCAGTTATAAGCAGAAATTATATCCTTCCAAATTATCATGTGGATCTTTTATTGCATAGTGGCTGTGCAAAGCTCAATTTGGTGTTTTACTGCTGAAGTAGAGCAAAATAACTCTTCCATAACAAAAGAACTCTGCATTCTTTGTTGATGGGGACCCTTTCATGGTTATGAAGGTTGAATGAACTAGACAATCACAGTCTGCCCTATCCCTTCATTACAACTTTTTTGATGTTTGTGAACACTGAATATTTGTGATATTTGTGAACACTATTCTGAAAAACAATATTATGAAAATGCTAAGCACACGCATATGATCTGACCTGTAAATATGTTGGTTATATTTATTTAATTCAATTTACTCAGTCTCATGCTTACTAAGCAATCTTCAGCTACTAAGCTGATTGGTATGTTTCATACTTTTTAGCCTTGAAGATTAAATTTTATTTTGTAATCAGTAAAGAATAAAAGAATTCACTGATTTTTTTTTTTTTTAACTCTATATAAGGTCTTTCCTTAAGTAACACTGAATAAAAGGGCTCTCTGAAAAACAAAATCAATTGCTTTACAAGGCATCTAAAATCAGGAAATTGTCAAGGAAACCAAAAGAGATAAACATTGAGCTGCTTGGAAATAACATGTTTTTTTTAAATATTTGCTTTAAAAAGCATGTAATGCATTACTGTGGTTCCACACATCCTAAAGATGTGTTCAGCTCTGTCATTAAAATATAATATTTGCACTTCTGCTGAATGCAAATAAAACAATTATGAAATCTTTATGAGGGTACACCAACTTTGCTCTCAAAGAAATGGATAGCAAAGTTCTCACTGAGTGCATGGAATTTCTTTATTTCATTGTAACACTGGGAAGTACATAGAATTCTTGGAGAAAGAACTGGCTGTTCAGTACAGCAAGGTAGAGACTGATATCAGAGTCCAGTCTCATCCACAGAAGGAGGTACAGGTAGGTGCCACCTGAGCATGACATCAGAATGAAGATATATTTTTTTTTTGGCTAAAATAGCCAGTGTAATTGTGTAACCAGGAACTATTTCAAAACAAAGCTGAAGGTCTTGAAACAAATGATATTTAAATAATGCAGAATCACACAGTACAATTAAGTATATTATCTTCAGTTATCTAGCTGAGGTTGGTTGTCTGAGGTTTTATTTCTGTTTTGTTGCTTTTATCCCCCTTTTTTTCCAAAGCCAGATGATACGTGATATAAAGCAGCAATTTGATTTGTTGAATCATAACACAAACATCCTGTCATGACAAACTGATGGTCTATCTACTTTTTTCTGATGTTGTTGTATGGGTATGCTTTATTTTCTAGTTTTGAAGAATTCTTGGAATTGCTGAGGTAAAAAAACAGCAAACCAAAATACATTATAAAAACATTGTAAAACTTCAGGGTGTAACAGTGGCTCAAAAACTGCCTCCAGGTTTGTTTGTCCAATCTAGAAGCAAAAAATACATCTAGAAATTGAAAGGCAACAGATGTGAAGCAGCTCGCACCTGAGAAGGAACTATGTGGCTTAGGATCCTTCAGCCTGGAACAGAAAAAGTGGAAGGACAGTTATACAGGTTATAAACTAAACAACTGGCTATAAACTAAGCAAATCAGATACTTCTCTTCCAACAACATGCATTGCTAATCACTGAAAACTTTTAGGAGTGCCGTGAATGTTGATGAGCATGGGTTCAAAAGGTGGTTCAAAAATCGCATCCAGTAAGCCTCAATTAATCAAGAACTCTCAAACACAGTTCTGTAACCCAACAAGCCACTGAGCTACTGTCCTGATTTTGGCTGGGATAGGTTTATTTTTCTTAGCCAACCAGAGGGGTGGAGGTTGCATGCTACATTTCTTACATTTCTTCCTTTGGCTTTTCCAGGTGTGCCAGCTGGAGGATTGGTTGGTACAGCAGTGCCAGGAATCTTCCTCACCTGTACTGGGTCCTTAGCTTTGGCATGGAGTTTTTCAGACTGGGTATGGAGGGGCTAAGGATCTGCCCTGTCTTCCTGGGGTTTTTGGGTGACAAATGCATGCTTTCCCTGGGAAGGAACAGAGAAGATATTTGGAACAGAGATCCTACCTCTTTTTGCTTGTACACCTCTTGGCAAGGAGAAGAAAATATACAGTCTTTGAAGTGTAGATAGGCTTATCACCTTTGATAGGAGTATAAGTAGGTGTGGCCTGTATCTTCTTCCTGGAACCTGTGCAATGAAATGCTGTAGAAAGTTCCTAAAAATGATGGTCATTAAAATATAACCTGGCACAGTAACAATCAAGAACAGCCATCCGTGATTTTGGGCAGGGACGCATGGCCTTCTGTGGCCCTTTTAAATGGCCATGCAGGCAGGGCTGATGCTGCTGGGTTGTAGGTGCAGGTGCACCACTGGCTGCAGCAGCTTCTGTCTCTGCATGTGAATTCAGCAGTGTGTCACCCAGAACCAGTGGGCACATTTCATCTTTTGACTGCCTCCTCTACCTCCTTCCTTTCCCCTTGAAAAGTGCTGCTTGTGCATGAATCTATTTTGTGCAAAACAAAACTTTAAACTTGCTCAATGTGTTCTGCTTTCTCTGTTTTGCTGATTGATAAAGGAGATAATAAAATTGGAGATAAGAGAAAAAAGAAAAAGGTTCTATCTTGATCTGTTTGGTTTTTTCTCTGTAAGCAGTTTGTATTATATGTCACTAAACTTTCCTTCTCTTTCTTAATGTGACATTGATTTCAGTAGAATTTATGTTTCATTTCTTATTGTCCAGTTTATCATACCTATTAATCTGAATGTATTCATCCCTAATTTATGATTGTATTTCAGCACAGAACTGAGATAGATCATGAGCCTGACTGACAAGATGTCCATGGTGATAGGGGTGGCAGAGATGGGTTGCAGCTACCCACAGCTCTTCTTGAAGCACAAGGTGGGCTTCTTCAATCAGAAAAAGAGTGATGAAAATATTGTCTTTTATAGTTTCATGGCTGATAACTTGAAGGATAGGGAGAAATACAGAAAAATCCCACTTTGCAGGCTCGCATCAAAGGCCACAATTTACACCAGGGTAAAGTAAGACAAAGTGGAAGCAATTCCATTATAATATTGTTTTCCACTCACGTAGAAGTGCAGGGAATGAATGCCTGTGCTGAAACACACTGAGCATTCAGCCTGACACTTCCTTATCTGTGAGCTTTGGTCCTCTTGTCACGTAAGTGAACCAAGAAAGCCTCTGCTCTGAAAGCCACTCCGTTAAAGCAACATAAATGGGTTTATAGGGGAGAGGGGCAGAGAAGTAGCAGAGGTGGGAAGCCTGTACTTATTGCTTCTAAATCTCTTACAGATAGAATTTAGAAGTGCTTCTTAGCTTTAGAAGTGGTTTTAATTGGCAATGCAAACCGACAGACGTGACATTCCTGCCTTTTGTGAGTGTGCAACCCCAGGAAGACCTTTTTAGTTAGAATCTCCACAACTGATTTTTATGTCTACTCCACATCACTGAAGAACCTTCTACACTAAGGGACTGGTACTGGGCAAAGGGTTGGGTCAAACAGTATTTCCTTGCAGTTATCCATGGAGTCATTAAATTCTCTGTAGTTGAATAGGTTTCAGAAAATAAAATCATGGAATATAAATGTCTAATTATGAAATATCAATGTAGCATTATGAAATATCAATGAAGCAATGTACTTTGTTTCCTTTCATGTGCATAGGGAATTCTGTCAGACCCAAACACCAAGTCAAAAGAGGAAATTTTCAGGAAAAGCAGATACAAATTTTCAGCCTGATTTTCCATACCAGTACCACATTCTAAACAGAAGTAAATAGAAAATATAATCTTGAAAAGATGTTCTTCAACAAAAGCATAATCCTTCTTTCCAGCTCCAAAACATATGATGTTTCCATGAGCCCTCCCAGCCTCTACTTGCCCTTTCCAGATTTCCTTCTAAAAAAATACTAAGGGGAAAAAAACCTAAATACATGTTCTTCCTCTTTAGATCTAATTTGATAAAGACCACCACCCTCCATTTTCCATATGCCTGCTGGTCATGGCCATCAGAAAGTTAATATTGTTACCAGAAATGAGCTCAATTTAACTCAAAACATGTGTTTGCCTGCACAAGAGCATTTTAGAAAACTTTGCTTATATTTCCCCATCCTCAACTTTTCTATGGTTTGTATGTTTGAAAACAACATTTTAAATTCAATTATATTTGCTACAATTCTGAGAAGGGCCCCTGCTTCCTTTATAAAACAACTCACAGAGAAAATAAAATGGGAGCTATTGAGAAAAAACCCAAGCTGCTACTAGTGCAAAAGACTCTAGAGACTGGCTTTCTCCTTCCTTCTTTAAGCAGTTTACCCATTTAAGAACACTATTTTGTGCTCATTCACAGTTAGTTTTGTACTGAAGGTTCCTCTCAGCAGTCACTAAACACTGAAGCTGGATCAGAGGATAACAAAGCAAGAAAATTTCCAGTCTGAGGAGTCCCCCTCCAGCCCAAAAAAAGTGGCACTTGTGAAAAAAAGGACAAAGACTCTACTCACAGTGGCCTAAAATATCACCTTTCTTTGAGTATTTTTCTATCCTCGCTCTTCTAGATTCATGCAATCTTCAGTTAAAAGGCACGAGACTATTTTGTTGTTATTATTAGCTCAGATAAACAGATAAAAAGATGAGCACCATGGACCTCATTCCTGGATACAAAATTATCTTCCCTGAAGGCAGAGGTTTTCCAGATCTCCAGAGAGATGGATGCCATCTCCATCCTCTTTACTGTAGGGTGGTCTGTGGGGTATATAAACAGTTCATTTGACTCATGCCTCCAGACCTGAGCAGCTCTTCCCTCCAGACCTGCTTTAAATCTTCAGTACTACTTAGAGCACAAATAACATTAGAGTAACTGAACAAGTACCTTCTGAAATTTGATTCTAATACAATTTTTCAGAACTACAGGTGAACTGGGACATGAGGGAGTAGAAACACACTCAGCTAGTTGATGATGAGCAGCCATTTGTTCAGTGCAAGGGAGTATCATTAAATGTCCACTTATTGCCCTGCTTCCTTTTCCACTACAAAGTCTTCCATAGTTGCAAGGAACCCAAACTGTCCCCAGGCCATTATATCCCATTCTGCTATATTGGACTAAGATAAAGGTAGGCAGGATAGAAAGCTCTCACAAAGTGTCCAGTACCATCTGTTGAGGATGGAGACAGAATCATTTTTCGGGGAACCCAAAACTTTGGATGAATATGACATGGGACTTCTTAGAAAGTCTTGGTGGGTCTTGGTGAGGACTTTATACTAGAATTTCACCTCTAATCAACACAAGAAAGAAAACAAATGAACAAAATCTTATTTAATGAAACACACATTTAAAAAATCATAATTAAACCTATAGTCATAAAATACAAATTTTGAATTCCAGTATAGACTTTTAAAAAATACACAGGATTGCTATGTAATCCACTCTTCATGACAATGCAATAAAAAATATGTATTTAAAAAAGTTCTGGTGTTGAATTTGCATCACAGTTTTAATCTTCTGAAAAAGTTGCATTTTGATACCACGGTCTGAAAGAAAGGGAAACAGTTTAGGTTGCAGTTGGTTGGGATTTCTTAGTTCAAAATAAAAGCCAGAGGTAAGATGGAATGCATGAAATTAACTTTCACTTCCAAACTTATGTTCATAAACTTTAACATATATGGGTTCACTGGAGAACAGATGAAAGAAGTTGTAAAACACCACAAGACTGACATGAATCAACATAATTCTGCATCAGCCAATAGTATGTAAAATAGAAGTCTGGGGTTTTTGAAACCTCATGACATTGAGATGTGTTTCACAGATACAATTGTTGCTGCTCTATTACACTATAAATTGTACTTTTCAGAAATATAGAACTAATTAAAATATGACACAGATAAAAACAACACTAATCATAGCTCTTCAACAAGCAAGACACAGTTGTTTACGTGCTATTCTTGCATATTTTTATGAAGGCAGCTCAGCTGGGTAAACATAGATTTGGCTGAACTTCTCCAGCCAAAACCCAATCTGGAAAAGCTGCCGAACAAACACAAACCCTATATACTGTATATACACACTTACCAGAGTGGCACTTTACAAGTGTTCAGAAAGTTTACCTGAAATCAGATCTTTCTGATTTGAAACATTTCTGTCTGTGTGAAAACCACAACAATGCAAAGTATTAAAAAAAAAACAAACCAAAACAAAAAAAACAAAACCCCAAAATCATTATTTTTATCATGAAAGAAGTAAGAAAATGGCAGTTGGAATATGTAGTGACCAAAAGTTTGTCAGGAAAGGCAAACTCACAGATCTGGAAAAAATCAACTTGCAGTGGACACAGGAATACTGAGACTTCATAGAGGCTGCAAACAATTGCTGTGGGTTTAATGTAAGTATGTTCATCAGAATGCTGTAGTGAACAGACAGGAGGAAGTGATAAGGTCTTAAATCTTGCCACACAGAGAGGGAACTGATGTTAAATATGAGCTTGAATGAATAAAATATTCTGACTCTTGGAGAAACAAAACAGTTGATTAGCATTTTTCTGAAAAAATTGTAAGACAGGGTGACTCCATTGAATACAAATGAAATGCGAATTTAGGCTGATCAGACCCACCATGTTTGCCTTGGAGGACAGGGGAAGGGAGACGAGAGCAAGAAAGACGGAATGATTGGGAATTTTAGGATTTTGTTTTGGTTTGCTTTGTTTTGTTAAAACGAGAGAACTAGATTGTTTCCACATCTTTACAAGCCCACCAGTATTAAAAATATAATCATGCAACATGAATCTCCAGTGCTGAAATGCACCATCAGTTTACGGTGCCAAGACCAGGGCCAAAAGCAGGGCATCTTAGGTGATATACTTCAGGTTTCTGCTAAGATTTCCATGAGGTTTAAAGGATTGATCCCAAATCCATACACTTCGTTAG